GATAGCTAAATATGTTTTTGTTCTTGAAAAGTCTGTTTATCACTATTTTTTAATTAGGGTTTCTTTGGAAGTCAGGTTGAAACTAGTTTACATTTTTTTTATATGGGAAACATGCTATTATTTCATATTATTAAGAGAGGGAAGATAATGGCAAGCCAAAAGAGTCTTACAGAAACACCTCCAGTATGTCATTAAGGAAGATAAACTGTAGTTTTGAAAGTAGAGTGTTTTTACACCAGCTGAGAGCCAAGCAAGTGGATCCATAAAGCTATCAGAAGGCTTCCCTGTATCATTGAAGATGCGTTTGTTTCTCTCCATCCACGTTGACCATAAGAATGCCCTGATAATGGAGCTTTTTTTTCTCTTTCAAATGATAGCCTCTGATAGGGTGACGGCTAGCATAACTTGAATATTTCTAGGATTGACTGTATACCATCCAAAGAAGGAAATCACAGCTTTCCAAAAGGATTTTGCAAATTGACAAGCAGTGAAGGGATAATAAGCCAAGGGGATCTTCATTGCAAGCTGTCGAATGTGTTTATGCAAGTGTGACTTTGTTCTCTTATAAAGAACTTTATCTTCATAGGGTGCTTTCCTTTCCAAATGCTTTCACGGAGCTGTGGGCGTGTACTTGTAACCTTTGATGCAAGGCTGTGTGTTAAACACATGGTGGTGATATAAATCTTTAGGGTCAATTTGCGACTGGCAAGCGTCACTATTCTTGTTGTAATTTATGAAGGAAAGTGTGCAGCAGGGTTGCAGTTTGCATTATTCAAAATTTTAAAGAAGTTTTATTATGTAGAAATTGGTAGGACACTTCTTTAAAACAGTTCTTAATAAGAAAATAGGAACAGTATTTTTTTCTTCTCTCATGTTTTATTTAGTTTTTTAAAAAAATTAACTGTTAGCTTTACTAGGCAGCTATTAGGTGGCCATTGCATTGCGTCATTAGGATGTCTTTTAGATTATAACAAAGAGTAGTCAACCAGATAATTACCCAACTTACTCGGTACCTATCCTTCTTCATAGGTTTTGCAATAGAGATTCTTAATTGTTAGTTATGTTGTCCCGCCAATTAAACTTTTTCCTTGATTAGTTATATATTTATTTTTTCAGATTGATGAAGACATTCTTCAGGAGGTTGTAAAGATGGGATTTGACAGGAATCAGCTGGTGGAGTCTCTTCGTAACCGAATTCAAAATGAGGTGCATAATTACTTCCACTTATTTTCTGAAAGAAATTGAAAATTTTCCTTGCTATTTGTTACCAATAATCATTTTATTGATAATAATTTCAGGCTACAGTTGCTTATTATTTGTTGCTGGACAACCGCTTCCGTGTTTCTAGTGGTTATCTTGGAGCTGAGTTTCAGGAGACTATGGTATTCTTGTTTTTTTATTCTTGTTCTGGACTTCTGTCTGATAAAGCTTTTCACGTGTTTCTTTCTTACACTATTAGAAAGTCCTTTCCACCTGTCCTCCAGAATGCATCTTGCTGAAGATTCCTATGTTGAGTGTCAAAAATAAAAGAAAAAAAAAAAGTTTGGGAATTTTTTTGGCTCATTTTTGTGATTTTTTTTTTCTCATTTCCCACCAAAAAAAATTAATAAAATCTTGTGATGTATTTCTCCTGTATTTTTTGGGGGTTGAATTGTCTTGTTTCCAGTTGAAAATTTTCTTTCATCTTTATTCTTATTTTGTTAGTACTGTGCAGTCCAACATATATTGTTTTTCTTTCATTGTCTGATAGGAAACAGGATTCAACCGTATGCACCCTGGTGAACCTACAAGTCCTGTTGTAGGGCACCGTCATCCTGGATATATGGATTACCAAGGAATGGGATTAAGATCACAGTTTCCTGTTGAGAGAAAGTGGGCTCTGGGACTACAGGTTGGTCCCTTGTTTCAATCCGTGTCAAGCAGAACTTCTAATGATGTATTTTTTTTTTTTTATTGGACGATGGATCTAGATTCAATGCTTAAATTTTCTTCTGATGGGTGCGTATAAGTTATATATGTACATGCAGGTGTACACGCTTATTTATTTTTTATTTCTGGTGTTAATTTTCTATATAACCTAGTAATTCATGATGCCTAATAAATGGATTATGATTGTACTCTTTGCTCCTATTTTTTGGCAGTCTCGCGCTCATCCACGTGAAATTATGACCGAGGTTCTTAAAGCTCTACGTGAGCTCAATGTGGCTTGGAAGAAAATTGGGCACTACAATATGAAATGTAGGTGGCTACCTGGAATTCCAGGCCATCATGAAGGCATGATCAACAGCCCTGTGCATAGTAATCATTACTTCGGGGACGAGTCTACCATCATTGAAAACGATGGCGTCGTTAAATTGCCTAATGTTATCAAGTTTGAAGTTCAGGTATTTTTCATTCTATTGTGGCATTTGAAAGAACTTCATCATTTTATCTCGTTGGTTGTGACTAAGACCTTTGACTAACATATTGCCTAAGCTTGATTTGTTCTCGAGTTGTTTCATAAGAGTTGTTGCGAGTTTCATGTTTAATATAGAAGATGATGTTCAGGGAAGATTATGTCGCTTTCTCGATAATAATCTCAAGCTTTATGCTCACTCATTTTTGGTTGGATTTTATTGTCAGCTCTACAAAACGCGGGAAGAGAAGTATTTGCTTGATCTACAGAGGGTTCAAGGCCCCCAGTTCCTTTTCCTGGATCTTTGTGCTGCGTTCCTTGCACAGCTCCGAGTGCTCTAAAAACACATAATTTTAACTCATGGGACGGTGAGCTTGTGAACCAAGATTTCACATGCATAACTTATTTATCATCTTACAGAATCTTAGTTCTTACCCTCCCAGTTTAGATGGATAGTAGCTCAGTCTTGTGTAAATCTGATTTTCGGTAGTAGAAGTTGTCAGATCTGGGCGTCCAATATTGATTGGTGATGCCCGTTACCTTCCCCTTCTTCATTCCAAAAAAAAAAAAAAAAATCTATTCAACTTTCTTATGTACTGCTGTAATTTAAAGACATTCTCTTGTTTCATATCTCTTTCACTGCAGTTGCTTTCAGCTGTCGGTGTTCTCTTCGTCGAGGTTCCCGAAATCCTTTCGTCTTTGGTACGTCTCACCAAAACTCTTAACTGGGTAGTTCACTCCATCTTGTGACTGTTGAAATTACAAAAATCCTCTGTTGAATTTTGAGGAAAGACCCATGCATTGATTGCATTTAGAACGATTGTCTGAGTAAGATGCAATAACATATCACATATCGTATTTTGGGTAGAATATTAGTCTCATATTAATTGGTTGCGACGTGCAAAGGTTCTTACTCCCAAGTGCTATTGATCGAACGATCTTCGTCAAATACCGAACTTTGCCTAAAATAGAGGATTGTGGAGATAGAATGAAAACTCAGAAAAATAGGGGTGATGAAGAAAGAGAGGCGATGTTTCTAGATTCAAATATAGTAATTGATTGTGCATTCCTTGTTCTTGTTCTCGCTCAATTCCCCTCGTCCCTTTTTGTGATGAGATTGCATTTTCATGACTTTCTACAAATGGGTAATCATTTTATTTCAGCATATAATACTTTATTTTGGCTAAGTTTGTGAAATTAGGGGTCAAAACAATGAACTTTGAGTGGAAATCTGTGTTTGTGATATAAAATTTTGGTTTTTTTTTTAATTATGTTATATTTATATTTTTGTCGGTGAACATTACGTTTAAAAATTATACATTAGAAAAGTTTTCTTTTATTTTACTTGTTTTTTTCTTTTTTTCTTTTTCTTTTTTTTTTTTGGAAAAACCTTTTAAAAAAAATGAAAACATGATAAAAAAAATTACTTAGGAGAAACTAGATCCTTCATGTTTTCCTTGAGATTCTCTCGGTAAATAAATAGGGTTTTGATTCTTCTTCTTTTCTTCCTGTTTCGAAAATTTTGCAGGGATGGGGAATGAAAAAGGGAACGGGGATGGGAAGTCTGTCCCTACCCCGCGTACTTCCTTATTGATCTAAAGAAGACCATAGTTTAGGAGAGTTAAAAAAAACTCATAATCCTGAAAAACTCAATATAAAGGTTGAGTTAGGTTATTAGTTGGTCAATTATTTTTTCAAGAATTGGCTCTCAAGTTCAGGGAAATAAATATATATCACCCTCGTTCAAAATCAATACTCACCTCTCTCTGCTTTGATGTGTGTGTCCTGCCCATGCTATGCCATAGCGAGTAGACATCTAAACAGCAATGTTTGGATTTAGATGTGCTATTCGGAGAAAGGCAACTGATAACCAAAACTAGAGCATTTTTCTGAGCAAGGTGGTACCATCTTCATGGAGGAACTTGATGATTTTGCTGAAAAAAATATAGAGAAGCATAATATAAGAGTTGGATTAGGCCAAATTTGTAACTGAGTTGCTCAAATAAGGAAATTGATCAACCAAACAATACCATGTGTCAAATGTCACTCTAAGACGAAACAACGTAAACATTTTTTTTGTTGTGCCGGATCCGCAATTAAGCCTATGGATCCTTAGAATTGGTGTAGTCGTTTAATATATTATATCCCGTAGCGTCGTTTCAGATCATGGATCGAGCCAAGTATCACAACTTCTTCTACCCATCCTGTATATTGTCCTTTTTGTTCTGTCTTGGAATACAAATTTTTTAGTAAACGAGATTTTACGAAAAAAGTTCTTCATATTCATAGGGAGAACAACGATTTTTTTTTATGTGAATTTGATATAACAGGTGAGAAACCGCTATTTTTCAATTAAATCAATTAATAATTTAATTGATTTAATTGAAAACAAAATTCTCTTTTGCGAGAACCCTAAGTATAACTTCACTATATTATATATAACGGAACCCTTTTTTTTTAAGACCCACTCGTTAGTAGTTAATAATCCGAGTGATTGGATTTAGATCCTATTCCTGATAGGAAATGAGATATTCAAATGATTTATTTTTTATCGAATGACTATTCATCTATTGTATTTTGATGGAAATAGGGGCAAGAAAGCTCTATGGAAAAAAGATGGTTAAATTCGAGGTTGTCTAACGGGGAGTTAGAATACAGGTCTAGGCTAAGTAAATCAATCAATAGTCTTGGTCCTATTGAAAGTGAAGGATCAATTATCAATAATATGAATAAAAACATTCCTAGTCATAGTGACAATTCTAGTTACAGTACTGTTGATGATTTAGTCGGCATTCGGAATTTCGTATCTGATGACACTTTTTTAGTTAGGGATAGTAATAGCAGCAGTTATTCCATATATTTGGATAGTGAAAATCAAATTTTTGAGATTGACAATGATCCTTCTTTTGTAAGTGAACTAGAAAGTTTTTTTTATAGTTTTTGGAACTCTACTTATAAAAATAATGTATCTAAGAGTGATGATTCCGACTATGATAGTTGGAATAATCACATTAATAGTTGCATTGACAGTTATCTTCGGTCTCAAATCTGTATTGATAGTTACTTTTTAAGTGGTAGTCACAATTACAGTGACAGTTACGTTTATAGTTACATTTGTGGTGAAGGTGGAAATAGTAGTGAAAGTGAGAGTTCCAGTATAAGAACTAGCACGGATGGAAGTGATTTAACTAGAACGGAGAGTTCTACGGAAAGTTCTACGGAAAGTTCTACGGAAAGTTCTATCGAAAGTTCTACGGAAAGTTCT